GTGGGCCCCAATGGCGATACGGAGGGCTCAATTTTTAAATGTCTGGATAGTCCGTATATTAGTCTTGCTGACCGTGCCTCAATGTTGAATCCCGTATGTCCAAATTGGCCGAATAATCGCCTTGTAGATTAGGATTTTCGAAGAGGTCCTCAGCTTCGACTTCCTACCCATCAGCCAATAGTACGCCTTTAATTTTACTTCACACTGCTAGCGCTTTTTGACTAGGTGAGGTTTCCAAGGAAGCCTCCTGTCCAGCGTGAAGCTCAGGTATCTTGTGATTTCAACCTGTGGCTGTTGAGGTGGGCCGGTGGGCAATTTCCTGGACGGAGAGAAAATGTGGTGGCGGTGGATTTTTAGTTGTTCACTAAAAAATTTTCTACCTTCTCTGCCAATTGCCGAGAAGATCTAGTTGTTCCTGCATGGCAGCAGCTGCCTCTGTAGCATTGTCAGCAGCGGTCAGGAAGGCGGTATCGTCCGCATAGGTGGCTGCCGTTATGTTGGGGCTCCGCAAGACTGGGAGATCGGCCGTGTACACATTGTATAATAAAGGGCCCGGCACGTTGCGTTGGGGGACTCTAGTGCGGACCTTCTTAAGTCCGGAAATGGCCTCTCCGCATGAAACCGCAAATTTGAGAAAGAGGTAGTAAGGTCTGAGCAGGTTAATCTTCAATTTAAGCAGGAGTCTGGAGTGCCACTCCCGGTCAAGGGCTTGTTTGACATCCAGCATTACAGCCAGGCAGTACTTCTTGATTTCGAAGGCGTCCAAGATATACTGCACCACTCTGTAGCATTGTTTCGGAGTTCCGTGGGACCGCCTGAAGCCAAACTGGTGATTGGGGATCAAACCAGTCGCGTCCAGTACTGGAAATACTCCACTCAAAAACACTCTTTCCAGTATTTTGAAGAGTATCGATAGAAGACTAATCGGACGATAAGAGGCAAGATCGGCTTCGGGTTTTCCGGGCTTAGGTATCATGGTTACCTGAGCATGTTTTCAGTTGGTCGGGAAGAGCCCAATCTCTTAGTATTTATTGTAATCCACGAGGTGCCTGGCTTCCCATGGGTGAAGGAGGATATACAGAGAAGCAGCAGCAAGTAAATTCAGAGGCTGTACAACCACCCCAACGAGTTGGCGACCACTCTCCTCGACAACAGCGAACAGATGCGAAGGCTGCGCAGAACTCACCCAATGGAGCTCATCCGGACTAACTCTTAGACATTGTTATTTTTCACCTCAAACTTTAGTTAAACATAAGCCAAGTTCTCTGTCACAATATTTAATGGTTGCCCCTGTTGGACAGTTTTAAATAAAATCACACCTGTCATAATCAAAAAAAAAAAACAAAACAAAATTTTTTTTCAATTGGTCGGGAATCTCTAAGCTTCTATTGTGAATTTTCGTCAGTATGTTGATTTTTGGAGGTGGCAGCATTTTAAATGCGGTTGCATTGATGGCATCATTGCCCGGGGCCTTGTTGCTCAACGCTGAAATCTGGGCGGCTGTCTCCTCTTCCGTCACAGGTGGTATTCTGTCAACGCTTCGTACGGACTCTGCCAAGAGTCGTTCAGTTTCTGCTGCCCCTTCTGGCGAGCAGCGGTAGAAAAGGGTGAACACGCTTTCCAGGTGTTCGGCGAACGCAATGGCTCAGTCAGTTTCAGACCTGCACCAACTGCCGTCGGCTCGCTGAAAAGGATCCTATGACAAAGGATGTCAACTCCAGTAAATTCGTGGTGGTGGAGCGACGCTTAAAAAAGCCATACTGACAAGGAGAGATAATCGAAAAGCCAAGGTATTGCAAATCAGGAGTAATTCATTTTTCAAATAGTTATGGAATTTCCGACCATTTAGAGATTCCTCTGTTATTGGCAGCATCTGACTTTTTCCTTTTTTTGCACAAAGCCCTGGCACAGTATTTTAGCACACAGGTTAGTACTCCATCGGGGCCTGGTGAATAACGGGTTTGCCACTTAAAAGACCAGATAATAAGCTATTCTCGGAGAATGACGGACAGAAAATAAGATTTGCTGATTGAATTTTGTATGCGTAAGGCTGATCAGTCATTTGAGGCAAAGAAGAAGTTGTTTGAAAAATTCTGCGAATAGATCGGCAATGGCCAGATCAGAGGTCGCAGATGAATTTTCAAACGTGAGGAGAGGTGGAAAGATACATGTCTACGCTTAGTGTTTACAAAGATATAGTTAAGATCCTGAATATATTGTATCCGTCAGCGGCGAAGATAATTTCTGTAACTTAAAATAAATTGAATTAAATTTTTCTGTAGATTTAAGTAAAATCCTTTTTTTAGTATTTTAAAAGTTTGTGAGGCAACTTGTAACCCAAGGAAAATTTATTGAAGCGGACGGATATTTCCACGGCACATATGAGTCAAAAAATGTATTTAAAGTTTGGTAAAAACTTTCCTAAGTTATCAATTATATTATATCCTAAGGCATTTATATCAGGGCATACCAGAATATCGGACCTATCAAATGTATCGATAAGGCTATTAAGATTGTGAAAATCAGCCTTTCGGAAGCACCGAATCATATTTGCCTCGCAAGTGGTTTCAATTGAAACCTCAAGCATGAGCGGATATGGATCCTCTAAGGTTTAAAAGTCATGGTGCGTAATAAGTGAAAAAGATGGTGATTGGACACTTTAATCCTGGGATATTAAAGTCGGCCACAGCTACAAGCAGGTCACGATCAGTCATAAGATTAAAAACGGATTGCATAGTGCACAAATGATGCCAAAATGTGGGCGGCTCAGACGAAGGAAATATATATGAACGTGTTATGTATAAAGATTAACCGGGAAAAAAGATTTTAATGAAAATAAATTCTAAATCACCAAGCTGATGTGATTTTACCTCTTCAGAATCGTTAAGGACAAATAAGGACTCCACTCCCCTTTGAAGAGGTCGATCACGTCTAAAAGTTGTGTACTTACTTGGAAAAACTTCACAGCTGAAGATCTCCGGCTTTAACCCAGTTTCTGTGAAGGCTATAATATGGGATGCAAAGAAAGAACTATCAGAATATAGTATAGAAAGTTGAATACGTAGCCACCTAGTATTCTGAATTTGTCGACGAAAAAGAGATGGAAGGTTGGTCAGTGGAAGGTTCTTTTTCTGAAGTATCACGGGCAATGGAGGAAAGATTCATGTTTTCGCTTAGTGTTTACAAAAGTATAAGACTACTTCGGATCCTGAGTAAATTCAATCCGGCAGCGGGAATATATTTGGTATTACATTCAGCGTTATGTTAGTTAAAATTTGACCGAGCTAGTTGCAATCTTGAAAAATCTGTACTACTGCAAGTATATAATAATGTACTACTTAAGTATTTTGCAAGTTTGTGAGGCACCTTGTAAAGGTATATATGAGATATATATGACCAGTAAGGGTCACGGAGGACAAATCGGACAATTTTTTATTTACACTAAGAAATTCTGACGACGAATTGTTTTCAGTTCTAGCCCTTGGGTTGGACAGAAATATGTGTTATTGTCAGCAATGGATGAGGGGATTTTCTTATTACAAATTTCATTGAGCAGACCCGTTTGAATTCCATTTTAATATTAAAAATATAAAAGTTTCAAAAGCGATGTACCTTGAACCACTGTTCCAAATAGAGCCCTAGCTGGTTCTTTGGAGAGAGCGATTTGGGAGGGCAAAGGAAATGCAAAAATAGAGATGAAAACCCCTATTGCACAAGAACAAAAGTAAAAGAAGAAGAAGAGCCGAGCCATGCTTGTATTAAAATTAAACAAATCATTTAAATATCCAAATATATCACAGGATACGCAAAGTGCTACTAAATTTTAATCTTAAGTATGTACGAGGGGTATTCAAAAAGTAAGTTTCCCTGTGTTGGGGGAAAAATAAAAAACAAGTTTTAGGCAGTAAAAATAAATTTATTTTATTCTTTGACTCTTAAATTTTTTTTTATATAGCCGCCTTGGACTACAATACATTTTTGGTATCTGTGTGAAATCTTAAGTAAACCTTCCTTAAAAAATTCCGTGCCCTGTTTTTTGATCCACGATTTGACGACTTGTTTGATTTCGTCATTTGAAACGAAGTGCTGGACTGAAGTTCGGTGAATTTGACATTTAGGAGGCATCATTTCCAAAATATGGTCAATAGTCCATCGTCTGTCCTCCTGAATAATGTTTTCAACCGCTGCAATCGCAATGGCGCTTTTTGGGCGTCCGGCACGCTGCATCGTGCACTTCTGCGCGTCCGTTGAGAAAATCTGTGCGCCATCTTCGCACCATCTGCACACTCATACAGTCTTCACCATAAATAGACACCAATTCACTGTGAATTTCATAACCGTTTAACTCTTTTGCAGTTAAAAAACGAATAACCGAACGTAATTCACAATCGAACACGCTTTGCACTGGTAACTCCATGATTATTGAGCTCGTACTGCTGAAAAAAGTATTCTTGGCCACCAAAACCAATTCCGCTCTTATCGGTAGAATCTACACTGAAACTATGTTCAGCTAGAGTCCGCTAGGTGGCGTCTGAGAGAAACGCCAGACTAGGGAAACTTACTTTTTGAATACCCCTCGTAAAAACCAGTTTACAGCAAGAAATATTATAAATGCAGTGCGCACAAAAAAACACTACGGTTCGCTTAAGAAGGAAGATAAGTGACACTCAAACCGACAAAAAACAGATCACCGCAAACCTCAATTTTTTCGAAAAAGTTTTTTAGATAATTTTTTACATAATTTTTACATAATCGGCATGTTGTTATTTTTCTAAAAGTCACTTCTACTCAAGTAATAAAAACAGTTCAAGTTCTCTTCGTATAAAAATAAGAAAAATCTGTTAGCGGTTAGCTTAGGTTTTAAGAGAATAACACGACCGATCAGTATGACTAACAAAATAAGCTTCTTTATTAATCATATTTCGTTATTATTTCAAAAATCGATGGTGCATGTAATCTTTACTTATAATAAATAAATGTCTGTAAGTATAATTTTTCAGTGTTTCAGGTAAATGGCTAACCAGTCGAATTTCTATTGGGGATGCCAAGCTTTCCGACAGTGGAAATTATTCATGTTCTTTGGGCAAACTCTTTACCGTAATTGTCCAAGTTCAAGTTCTTACAGGTATGTAAATTTATGCCAATATAATACATAATAAAGTTAACCCAATTTTACAGGAGAAATTCCCGCTGCAGTGCAACATAACAAAGCAACGAGATCTGAATATTATAAACTGGTGCAATTAAACATTTTTTTTATGATGATAAAACTATATAATGTCCTTAACTAGAAAATATTATTTTATAATTATTTATGTATGTACGTGTTACAAAATCCAAATTTGTTTGTAAGTTTCCATTAATTTTAAAGGTTAGATATTAAAAAGTTATTGATAAATACAAAAAATAAACCTATATTAATAAATCTCAAAATATTTTAATTAAAGAATATAAATAAAAAAGGTAAAAATACTTGAAAAAAATAGCAGAGTAACAATTGAATTTTAAATCTTAATATATAAAGTCTTGATTTTTTTATATTTATCTTAATCTTAATTTTATTGGATCTGCGTAAACAAATTTTCCGAATGGAAAATGCTTAATCGAGCTACCTGGCACTGGTGAGTTGATACTCGGGTTTTATGTTTGACTATGTTCCTGCGTCTTTTGGTTCCCCCTAGTTAGGAGATCATTTTTGTTCATGATTTTTGGAATGGAATTCATTTTCGATTATGAGCCAGTGGAGACTGTAAGCCCTTTAATTTTGTATACCCTTGCAGAGGACATTATAACGTCGGCCAAAAGTGTACAACGCAGTAAAGGAGAAATCTCCGACCCTATTAAGTATATGTGTTCTTTATCAGGATCACCACCTAAATAGATATAAGCATGTCCGTCCTTGCAGTAGTTACTGGGTGAACGGCTACTTCGATGACCCTTGTTACTTCGCTATGATAAGCAAAAATCAAACCACCAAATCAATAAAAATTTTGTATGTGAGAAAGCGTCAACAAAAAATATAGATCAACCTGCGCAATTATTCATATTATGTTGTGAACAGAGCGGACAATACGGAAAAGGAAAAGCTTAAGCTTCGATTACGCTTTCCGTCGCTGTTTGTTTAAATGTCTAGTAGGCACTGTTTCAAAATATACAAAAAGAATTATAATGCAAAAACCGTTAATTTCTTATTTTTTTTCGTTTTTTTGCAATGCTGAGCAGTGTTTTGCGGTTGACAGTTTTTTGCAGGTAAGACAAGTGAAGCGAAAGCAAAAAGTGAGTATATTAAATTAATCACTGTGGACGGCAGTCCACGGCAGACGAAGCATTTATTCGTTTAATCTGAATACCAATTGAAAGGTATTGCTATAATTTGATAATTTTTGTCCAACAATTTGCCAAAAATCCATCAGTTTGGGTGAAATATGCGTAAAAGTAAATGGATTTTGATTCATTAAATTTGGGCTAGGGGGCACATTGCTACTTAAACAAACACATTTTTTTTAAATTGGCTCTAACGATTAAAATAATTATACTTTTAGGGATAGCCATTGAGATGGCGCAACTTTTGATACAACGCTTATATTAGAGAAAACCCGCTTAAGGAAGATATTTTCGTATACGTGGGGCAACTAATGTTGTGCAGCTACCAGTGCACAGCTGTGAAGCTTGGCCCCTTATACACACATACGTACATATGTATGTGCTTATATTTGATGATCGACATTCAGTGAATTGAATGTCGAACGAGAGAGACGTGGTCGTTCCGCGTCCCAGTGATCGCACTTTTCCACGGCCCCGAGGGTGTACAAAAAGAGTTAGTGAACACCTAAGCTCGAAACTCGACTCACCTGTTACATAGGCATGAAAGGTTCCCCAAGGCTTCGCTTTCCCGGCTTGCTGGAATCAGAGTCCTCATCGGACGTTACAGGACAGGGGCGAAAAGGGTAGGCTTTCTTCCTCTCTTTTGGTGGCAACGTTTTTCCCGCACTGCGAACTCGCCCAAGCTGGGTTGTGCTAGTCAGTGATGCGGATCGAAATATCAGCTGATCGCAGCTGACCGGCAGTGTGGCCAGTAGTACCAGAAGAGGGCGCCAATTGGCGCAGAGGGCGGCACTGGGAAAAATCCCACAGCGCTCTTTTGAGGGCGAGCAGGATCCTAGGAGCAGTGCACAAGGAGCCACAGTGGCCGACAGCGATCCCTCCATGGCAACCATTCAAGTGGAAATACACCCGTGGGGAAACCCACAGTAAGGGCACGGATTTGCGAGGCCCGAAAAAACATCTCACTTAGGACTGACGAGGCGGTGGATAGCTTAGCCGCCCGGCAGGAAAAGCGACAAGCCCACCAAGTGCGTACATATCCGACAAGCAAAACACATCCTGCAGGCAACACGGTCCACAGCGATGCCAACAGGCGGTGTTCCCGCGGGTGAAGAAAAGGAAACCTCAAAAGGTCGAGCGAGCAAACAAGTCGCTCGGAACCCCAGCGATCGACTCCAGATAAGAGGACGAGAGCCACAACAGAGCAGCCATCCGTCAGCATGTTGGCGAAGCTAGAGACGATACTGGATGACATTCCGTGCAAAAGCACGAGAAACAAGAGAGGAGCATCCGCAATTAACAGATTGCTCTGGAGGATAAAGGAGCTGCAGGAAGGCTTTAACGAGACCCTTTCCAACCCCGGCAATGCAGAGACGCCGGCGACGGCAGCGGTGGTTGTGGCCAGGCAGCTACTGCTAAGGCGGACTAACGAACGCAAACTATCCCCCTGCGGCGCAAGGCAGCTGCACCCCAGACTGATCCGTGGCGCAGGTTAGCGAGGACAGCACGGCTCCACTACCCAGAAGCGTGCCACCCAGCGGTCCAAAAGCCGCCCGGACGCCAAGAGCACAGGAGCAAGGGGCCTTCCGTCTATATACTAGCAGCTTGTATATAGACGGAAGGCGCTGAATGAAGCTGAATGCTGACGAGGAGCTTACCGGGGATATTATAAGTACTGGAAGTAGTAACAACAACAACAATGCAACATTGCAGCCAACAACAATGCATCCGTCGAGACTTTCTCCGAAAAGCCTGATAGTTTTTTGTTTTGAGTTTTTCTGCAACACTCTGAAAAACCTTTCTCTGGGCGTCCAATATTTCTAAATGATGATCTTTCCATCATCTCCTAGAGGCTAGAGACGTGTCTAGCCATTCTTCATTACTTTTTTCAAAAGCTGCCTTATTTCTATCGCATTTTTTCCACTTTTCTATAGCTTTTTCCCAATTTCGGAAAGCTCCTTTTTATACCCTTGCAGAGGGTATTATAATTTTGTCCAAAAGTGTGCAACGCAGTGAAGGAGACATCTCCGACCCTATAAAGTATATATATTCTTGATCAGGATCACCTCCTGAGTTGATATGAGCATGTCCGTCTGTCCGTCTGTCTGTCCGTCTGTCTGTTTCTACGCAAACTAGTCTAAGTCGGAACGGCCCGGATCGGCCGACTATATCCTATAGCTGCCATATAACTGATTGATCGGAAATGGTATAACTTTGACGTTTTGAAAGTTACAGAGAAAAGTCAAATTTGACATGAGAGCATTTTTTGGCAAACCATTACGACATGCCAAATTTCATAAGGATCGGCCGACTATATCCTATAGCTGCTATATAACTGAACGATCGGAAATGACCCAACTTTCGTGTTTTTGAAGATAGAAAGGTGGAATTTAGTACAGATTCTATTTTTGGTCAGTTGATCCAACCTACCAAATTTCATTAGGATCGGCCGACTATATCCTATAGCTGCCATATAACTGAACGATCGGAAATGACCCAACTTTTGTGTTTTTGAAGATAGAAGTTTGGGACATTTTTAGGTTTGGTTTTTGTATTATAATAAATTGGGTTATATTATCATATTCTCATAAGGATCGGCCAACTATATCCGATGTTTGCGATATATATCCGGTTTTAACTGCAAGGGTATATAAACTTCGGCTAAGAAAAGTGCGCGCTTCGACACTGACATTCTTCCTAAGGAGTAAAATATCTTGTAGATACGCAGGATTACGCATTTTTGACATTTCAGACAGATAATGATTCACACTTTAACAAACAATTGCAACCAGAGTGAATCCAGGTGAATCTGTTAAGTTCTACTTCACGAAAGACTGGTGTGCGCTCTATTCCGCGAACTGTTAATACACTTAATATCCACTACAATTTATAAGTAACACATACATATAAGACACGTCACAAGCACAGATTTTCTATGTCGCACATATCGACGCATTTCCGCAAAAGTATAATTAATGAGTATAATTAAAATTAATGAGTCCCAATAAAAAAGGACAATCAATGTTATCAACGATTAAATTGTTCAAAAAAGCTAAAGCTGCCAGTTTACGCCGATCCTCCAACGTGCAGACATTCAGAAGAAGGCAACAGGATCTGGTATGAAGAAACAGGATCCTGAAACATTAGAAGCAGAGGTGCAGAATTTTTTCTGGAGTCGCTCAATTCTGTTGGAACGAACTTTACAGTCCGGATTCCAAATGATTGAGGCATATTCCAGCCTCGACCGAATAAATGCAGCATAGACGCTGAGGCTCGAGTATGGACTTTTGAACTGGTTCACGTGCCTCTTAACAAAGCCCAGCATAGCATACGCTTTAGGTAGAATATAGTCTAAGTCACCAGAAAATTTTAATTTGCTGTCGAATAAGACACCAAGGTCTAACACCTCTTCTTTAGCTGCCAAATTATAATTACTGATGGAATAGCCCGTACAGATTTCAAAAGACCGCCTACTGTAACGGGTAAACATACACTTAGATAAGTTTAATGGAAGAAGATTACGGGAGCACCATGATTAAACTCTGGATATATCCTCCTGTAACCAGTAACTGTCACTAATGCAGCTAATCGCTTTATAGATTTTAAGGTCATCCGCATACATTAAAAAGTGCGAATGACGAAAGCATGACGAGATGTCATTAATGAAAATGATAAATAGAAGAGGTCCAAGAGAGCTGCCTTGTGGAAGACCAGAGGAGGTGACAAATGGACTTGAGATAGCGTCTCCAACAGTAACGTGGCAAGGTCGGTCAGCCAGATAAGACTCGAACCAACTTAATAGGCAGGAATGAATACCTAATTTATATAATTTGGCCAGAAGGGCAGCATGACACACTTTGTCGAAGGCTTTGGAGAAGTCGTTGTAAATGGCATCAACCTCAAATCGGTTTTCAAAAGCTTCAAAGCAGTGCTTAGAGAAGACAGCTATATTAGTGGTAGTGGACCTCCCAGACAAAAAACCATGCTGGTTGGCCGATATAAAATTGCGAGCCAGAAAAGTCAATTTT